GAAAGTGCTGCTACGAACATTTGTGTACAAGTATTGGCTTGAACACTGTTTTCAGTTCCTTGGGCATACAGCTAGGAGCGGAATTGCTGGGTTATATGTTTGTGTTTAAGTTTTTGAGGATCCGCTAAGCTGTTTTCCATGTGACTGAACCATTTCACATTCAATTTTACCTCTTTGAAAATAGTACTTAGTAAGTTACCAATTAATACTTGGCAAATTATCGTGAACTTAATGGTAAGTGAAATGATCATCAGAAGTTTGCATGGGGTCCTATTGAGGTGAGCTCATTCTATGATTTTAGGCTACTTTTGCATGCGGCCTCCATTTTATGAGAGAAGTATTTCCATGAAGGAGATCCTAGGTTTGGGCTGTACTCCCTGTATGCATTTCCATGGTAGGATGGCCGTGCCTCAAAGGCCAAAACACTTGGATTCCATTAGCTAAGGATCCCACCACACCAGTACTGCACGTTTCTGTGACCCTCATTTTTCTAGCTTTCATGGCTAACTCCTTGATTGACATGTTCTTTCTTTAGTTATATATCTTAGAGCTTGTCAAGTTAAAGTTATCTGGTTAATCTTCAAAGTCCATACATCACGTAACTATGTGCCAGGCACTATTCCAGATGTTGGGAATTTAGTTGTCAACTAGTCATAAAAGTTGCCCTCTAGAAGCTTACCTTCTTGTAGTCAGATTTTGCCAGCCAGGGAGCTGTTCCATATCTGCTTATCCACTCGGATCCAGAATATGCTGCTATTATAGCCTAAATCTTAGAGGAAGAACTTATTTCCAAACTCTTACTGTAATCTTTAAGTACTAACAGCAGAAGAAAATCACATTATCCTTCTCTTTCAAGATTTGCATTCTAAGAGGTGGAGGAAATGTGGCTTATACAGCATTTGCATTAAGTGGGAACACTGCATGAAATATCTGCCCCGCATTCCACACACGGCGGAAATTGACGTGGCAGCATCAGGAAGCCAGCTGGTTAGTATGCTGTCGGGAGGCCTTACGTTGTGCGTTCAGCAGTAGCAGACATGAGGAGCATTTTAAGAATGTGTTATTCCTTCCCAGCATTATCTTTGCTCTTTCTTGAAGGTTAGTTCTTTTAAACTTATCTAATTCTTCAAATCCTCAAAAATTTTAAATGAAGATAATACTAAAATCTCGATCAAGAGGCCAGCCCTGTGGCCGAGTGGTTAAGTTCTCACACTCTGCTCTGGCGGCCCATGGTTTTGCCGGTTAGAATCCTGGGCACGGACATGGCACCGCTCATCAGGCCATGCTCTGGCGGTGTCCCACATACCACAACTAGAAGGACACACAACTAAAATATACAGCTATGTACTGGGGGGCTTTGGGAGAAAAATGAAAAATAAAATTGTTATTAAAAAAAATCTTGATCAAGTAAAATTAGTTTATATCATATTGCTTTAACCTTTTTATTTTCTGCACTTGCCAGTGACATTTAACCACTTAAAAAAGGCATTATGAAACCAGAAAGTTTTCTTTCACAGTTCAGAAAAACGTCTAAAGTCCAAATTAATATATGAAATTGAACAGGGTACTAAATTTAGAAATATTAGACTTTTCTTTTTTTGTGAGGAAGATTGGCCCTGTGTTGACATCTGTTGCCAATCTTCCTCTTTTTGCTTGAGGAAGACTGTTGCTGAGCTATCATCTGTGCCAATCTTCCTCTAGTTTATGTGGGATGCCACCACAGTGTGGCTTAATGAGCAGTGCTAGGTGGGTGTCCAGGATCCGAATCTGTGAAGCCCAGGCCACCAAAACGGAGTGCACGAACTTAACCACTACACCACAGGGCTGGCCCCCATAGACTTCTTAAAGACAAAGATGACTTTTTTACTGCAGAGTTGGTACTCATTACATAGTAAATAATGCTGTATAGACGGTAACACAGAATTAAGAAAAGGTGTATCCGTGACACCCACATTCTTCCTTGTAGATAAAGCTATTCCTCTAGAGAACATTATTTCTTCAGCCTAAAGTTTCTGAAAACTTGGCTCAGACGTTTTTTGTGGATGTATAAATAATATGCATTTATCTAGCTACTTTTATGATTCATATGAATAATTCTATTTGTTCCAGTAATGCCAAATCAAATGCTATAGATTTTTTGGTTCTAAAATCCTAAGAAGTCCTTAATGGGTTTCAGATACAAGACCACCTATTAGGAAGATAGGAGTGCCTTATTTAATGCTAATTGCTCTCCTTGGGCTCATGCACATGCTATACGCTCCACATGGTCTGATAACCGATCACAATTAGTCCCTATTCCATGACTCTGGTCCCTCAGACGTAGGTGCAAGAGAACAGAAGTTCTGGTGGAACTTGTCATCATGGTTGCTGGGATGAGATTTAAGACATTAATAGCTTTGGCAGAAATCGGTCCCTCTTTGCTCTACAGCACTCCTTTGTACATAAATATCCTTTTGGTTTTAAAGATTTTATTTTTCCTTTTTCTCCCCAAAGCCCCCCCAGTACCCAGCTGTGTATTTTTAGTTGTAGGTCCTTCTAATTGTGGATCCTTTCGATTTTAAAAACCAATGTATAAACTGAGCAAAGAGTACCAAGAACCTCTCTGCACAATCTTTACAATTTTCTTGGAATCTATTTTTTTTAAAGCCAATATGCAGATATACGTCAAAGAATTGAAAACAGGACTTCAGACACTTGTACACCCACGTTCATGGCAGCACTAGTCAAAACATCCAAAAGGTGGAAACAAGCCCAGTGACCATCAACAGATGAATAAACAAAATGTCGTGTAGCCATACAACGGAATGCTATTCAGCCATAAAAAGGAATGAAATTCTGACACAGGCTACAACACAGATGAATCTTGAAAACATTATGCAAGTGACATAAGCCAGATGCAAAAGGACAAATACTGTGTGATTCCATTTATGAAATATCTAGAGTAGGCAAATTCATAGAAAGTAGATTAGAAGTTACGAGGGGCTGGGAAAAGGGAGGATGGGGAATTACTGCTTAATGGTCACAAAGCTTCTGCTTGGGGCGATGAAAGTTTTGGAAATAGTGGTGATGGTTGTACAACATTGTGAGTGTAATTAACACCACTGAATGGTATGCTTACAGGGTAATATAAAGTTGGAAGTGAGGATCAAAGCAAAATTCCAGCGAGGTATGATAATGAAGGGTTAAAAAGATTAATTGGTTAAGAAACAATTTCATTCAACAAGGATTTAAGTTTCAACTATGTAACAGAAATGATGGATACAAAGATAAACATGGTTCCCAATCTTAGAGAGAGAAAATAGCATGATGAAATTTTTGCAATCTTCAAAGAGATGTCATTCAATTTTTCCAACATAGTAAATATTAAGCTCCAAGTGAGGGACATTGTTTTACAGCCACTCAAAAATCAAGACCGTTTCTCAACATCTCAGGAGGCAGGATAAAACCAGACTTTCAAATCAGTGGACTCGAAAACAATTGGCACTGGATAAGCATCATGCAGTACAATCCTAACCTTACTGATGTCCATGTTCCCAATTTTTTTCTCACAAAAACGTCTTTAAAAAACTCAACGTAGTTTTTAGCGTTTACTGCAAGTGTCGAGAGGAGTGGTTCTCAAAACGTCGTCCACGGATCAGCAGCACCCTCAGTCCCTGAGAACTTCTCGGAAATGCAAATTCTTGGGTCCCACCCTCGACCTACTGGATCAGAAACTCTGGGGGTGGGGCCCAGCACCCTTGTGTTGTAACAAGCCCTGCAGGTGATTCTGATGTGAAATAAGTTGGAGAACCAAAAGTCAAGCATGCAATAAGGCACGGCCTGTCACTAACCCCAAATCAGAAAGAACTCAGGGGAAAAGGGCCAATCAGTTGGCTTTTGAAACAAATATGCAAAATGTCTTCCCATTGCTTAAAAATAGGTTTAGAGAGAGAACATGATTTTGAAAGAAAAATGAAAATTATCTATGGCTTTTTGTTTTAAATAGTAAGAGATTAAAAAGAGAAGTGATCTTTTAAAGTATGAGTTTATTCTCCAGGTTTTCTTCAACACCCACAAATTAGTGCTTTTTATTGCAGCTATATCCAGGAGCTGAAAACAACTTAAAATATGTACTTTTATCATACATTTAACACTTATAAGAGATAGAATGGAACGGTATGAATTTTAAAGATGAGTTTTTCAATAATTCAATAATAAGCATATGGAAATTGAGGATAACTACAGAAATAGCTATTGAACTCTAAAATAAAAAGAAATTATATAGAAATAAAAGGGTAAAAGGTGTTTCATAAAAAAAAAACCGAAGAAACAGTGGCTCATCACCTCTCGTGCTGGTTAGTAATCTAATAAAAATGATAATGAGTCAAGTATTATCTCCTTCATACTTCAAAGTAGTTCTTTTCATGAACGCCAGCTTTAGGTCTGAAATGTGAGAGAGGATCTGGGGTTCTGAACATCTCAAATATTTTACTGCCCTAGGCTAATGGATTCTTCTTTGTCACACTAAGAAATTGGTACTAACTCTTGTTTGCTTGGATAGAAAAAAAAAGAAATGGATGAGCAATTAATCAAGTGGGATTTGGTCACTGGGACAGTCACAAATGGCCCCAAATCAGAACACACACACAGTTTAGTTTGAGGGTGAACATGTTAAATAAAGACCAAAGAAGGGGAGCATCTGAAATCTTTACAACAGCATCATATTGGGCCAAAGAGACTAGGTTTGGCCAGTACAAGGGGAATGAGTCTCGAGAGAGATGAAGTTAATGAGAAGCTAGATTCAAATTAGCCCCAACTTGATTTACAACTTAACAATGCAAAAATGATTTTATTTTCTATCCTTCTCATTCAAAAGAAAATTAAAACCATATTCCTATTGCTAGTACGAACTTCTCATGTTTCAGAACTTGCCATACCTTTGGTTAGTTTTTAAAGATAAGTGATAGCAGATGTTGACGTTATTAATTGTGACCAATACATTAAATTTCCGAAGAATAAAATTAGATTAGTACCATCTTATTATTCACAATGATTCGGCATAAACAGGAGAGGTCCCACAATTGTCCTCAGCCCTGGGATCATGAAATAGGGCAATTTAGTGACCATTACATGGAAAATGAATTATGAGAAATGCTGTCTCCAGAACGCTTTTCTCCCCTCTCTTCATTTGTATTTTTTAAAAAGCAGACCTCATACTTTCCTCACTTAAACATCATTTAAAATAACCTCCTAACATTTCATTTTTCCATTTTCTCTGAAATAAATCAAATTAAAAACTTCCAAAATTTGTTAATATTAATTGATCACAAACGTTTGACAGTAAAACTACTTTTGTTTAACTCTGTGAAAAAATGTTAATATTACACCATTTGTTAAGAGGCCAGACGTCTTTTTTTCGGGGGGGGGGGTCACTGTTACAGCATTTTCGGTTGTTAGCCAGTGTTGCTATAATGGAACGAAAGTTCCTATAAAGAGATAATGAATTGGAAGCATTAATGATGTAATTACACCTACGAGTTAAAGCCACAAAGAAGTCTTATAAAAACGACTTTGTGTGTTAAACTGTGTCAACACGATGTCAGATGATTTTGTTCAACAACTGGTCAAGTCAGGGAAAGGGGGGAAAATAAGGCTACTGGGATTGAAACCAGTTTGACTCAAAGAAAACAAAAATTAAGCCTACAGCCTACTGGATAGGCCTGTACACACTCAACCTGGAGACTTTCTGCCACAATACTAAAATGCAAATTCTCCACAAATCACAACTTTATCCCAAATGTCCTTATATGTTCTATTTTTCTTTTTAAATTCTACTAAATAATTGATAGCTTTACAACAGAATTTATTTTATTTAAAAAACACTTAAATCATTACCCCACAAAATGTTCACAAACACAGGTAACCATAGAAAGTAAACATGCATATCCTGCTTTTATCATAATTATGGTTGTTAGCTGAATGAAACAAATAACTCAAAAGGTTTCAAATGATAGAAAAACATATTTGGGTAAGTTATGACACAATTTTTTGAGTACTGAGACAACAGAAACGTATTATATTTTTGCACCAATTGCAAATGCAAAGTTAACAATGAAATCAGGGGACTGAAGGGCTGAAAGGAGCTGGATATCCATATTCTCAATCTACATATCCACTATCTTTTAAATTTTAGACAAAGAAGCTGAAAATAGACAACAAAACAAAACAAAAACCCCAACATATACACCATAACAGTCTTTTTTTTTAAAGACTTCCAATTTGAACTCTTTTCTAAAAGCACTAAGGCACCGGGACGCTTATTGTAGATTATGGATCATCTCCTCTTTGGCTATGAGGTGTGTAGTTTTGTTGACTAGAGACATCAATGAGTTCAGTTTCTGAGACCAGTCATTTAATAAATTATTTGGATCCTTGGGCCTCTGGAAGTTGATAATTCCTGCCAACCTGTCTACTTTAGCAAAGATGGTCTTGTTAACTACTAGATTTGAGAGGAAAGCCTCTGACTCCTGCAAGAGAGAAAGACAAATTAGATTAAAATAGGATAATTATAGACAGTAAAACTTGAAAGCAGTTTTAAATTCTTCATTCAAGGGCTAAAGTTCGTTATTAACAGTTAGCAACTGATTTCCTCTCATTATGGACTTATTTTACTGAGAGTCTAGGGACTGAACAGAATGAGCCCCCTCGCAGTCAGGGCTGAGTGTGAAGCTGCCTGCCTGCGGATTCAATCCTGCTGGCACTGGCAAGATCGTGTTGCCAACTGCAAGCTGGCGTCCTCTCTTCTCTGTAATGTTTTCCCCTAAAAGGCAGTGCTATACAGTGTTTCCAGAAATGCTTGGTTAGAATATACGCTCTGCCACTTCGCAACTATGTAGCCACAGATGAGGCAGTTTATTTCTAAGGCCGCTGGTATCCTCATCCAGAAATGAGAAGAGCTAACGAACTAATCAAGGATCAAGCCTTCTAACCCTAACACTCCGTGATTCTTCTCTTTCAGCTAAACTGTCACAACTCCTGGCGAAAGAAACGGCTTTTCACTTGACTCCCATCTCTTTGGTGTCATATATTTTATCAACATGGACCCAGACCTGACTACAATCCTCCTTTAACATGTCCTGTCACCTTTTCAGGGGAACTGCAGTCAGGTTTCCTTCACATCTTTTATTTCTACAGTTCACTTTTGGGAACCTAGATATATTTACTATAGAAATAAAGACCTTGGACTTCAAATTAATCCATCTTTTTTTTACTTTTTTCTTTTTGCGGAGGACTAGCCCTGAACTAACATCCGTGCCCATCTTTCTCTATTTCATATATGGGATGCCTACCACAGCATGGCTTGCCAAGCGGTGCCACATCTGCACCCGGGATTCGAACCGGTGAACTCCGGGCTGCCGAAGCGGAAAGTGCGCACTTAACTGCTGAGCCACCAGGCCAGCCCCTAATCCATCATTTTAAGTGAAGACTTTAACCAGTTATAAATAACATCAATGTAACTATAAAACTTGATATGTAGGCTATTTTTTGGTATTCAGGATAGCTTGGGGAAACTTTCTACCACCCAAACTTAAAATTAAATAATAAAACAAAATTGATTTTCTCACTCAATTTTTACAAGTCAACCGATAATCAAAATAAATGACTGCAAGTAACTCAAACAATGATGCTTACTACTTACATCAACAGACAGATCCAGAAGCTGTGCCATCCTCTTCATTGTTATCCTTGTATAATACTTTGCCATTATTCTAATATTCTGGGGAGGGGAGAGAGGGCAGGGAGGACAGAGAACAGCTGTCAGTAAGTCTAAAAGTCCATCTGTTTCCATATCCAAATAGGTTGAGTTAAGGCTCAGAGCTTTTATTTTATTTATTTTTTGAGGAAGATTAGCCCTGAGCTAACTGCTGCCAACCTCCTCTTTTTGCTGAGGAAGACTGGCCCTGAGCTAACATCCATGCCCATCTTCCTCTACTTTTTATGTGGGACACGGGCCACAGCATGGCTTGCCAAGGGGTGCCATGTCCACACCTGGGATCTGATCCGGCGATCCCCAGGCTGCCGAAGAGGAAGGTGCGAACCTAACCGCTGAGCCACCGGCTGGCCCCCAGAGCTTTTATTTTTTTATAGCCCATCAATGGAATGAAGCTGGCTCTAAACTTCAATAACAAAACTAAATATTTAGAAATTTTGGTTTCTGCAGTTATTTGTAAGTTATTCTGAGGACTCTCTACAACCTTTTTAAATATGTATAGTCAAAATATAAGGCTTATCTTAACTAAATTAGTGGTTAAAAATTATAACTGTACTAAAATATTTTTGCTAAATGCAAGAACCTAAGTTAAGATTTTATAATTATATACAAATATTCAAAGGCTAAAATTCAAAAAATGATCAAAATCATCTCAAAACACCAGTTAATCATCATTATAACTACTTAAAGATAACTTGCAATTGAACTTCCTAATCCTCACTGGAAATGGTGATAAGTTAGACAGAGGGACTCCCCTTTACTATTCTTTTTTTTTAATGATTTTATTTTTCCTTCTTCTCCCCAAAGCCTCCCAGTACATAGTTGGTATATTTTAGTTGTGGCATGTGGGAAGCCGCCTCAGCATGGCTTGATGAATGGTGCTAGGTCGGTGCCCAGGATCTGAACTGGCAAAACCCTGGGCCACCGAAGTGGAGCGCATGAACTTAACCACTCAGCCACGGGGCCCCGCCCACCCCCCCCTTTATTATTCTTAATGTTAACATAACTGACAACATAGCAGCGCTCTCAGAGTTGGATGGGGGAGTGGGGCAGGGCCAAATGAACTCATCTTTGAAGAAGCTGCACCTCCTGCCATCTCCATCAGGGTGGATGGCAACACCAACCTCTCAGGAAGCATGAGAATCACCCTAGACCCCACTTTTTCCTTCATCCTTTAAATTTAATCAACGATCAAATTCTATTGATTTTCTTCCTTAAAATAATTCCATTCCATTCATTCCTCTTCAACACCTCAGCTACGGCCTTAATTCAAGCCCCCAGAGCCCATCATTTAACTATTCTCATCTCCAGTCTTTTCTCTCTCCAAATCCACTCTACACTTTCTCCCTGAGGAATCTTTGTAAAATACAAGCCTGGTCATTATCCTCTCAGTTAAAAGTTTTCACTAGTGGGGTGTACAATCTTTATAATAATCCAGACCGTTTCTACATCTCCAACTTCCTTTCTCACTAAGCCCTCTTCTTGGAGGCCCCAAGCACCCCTGCTGGGTTAAGCGTCCACGCCCTTGCTCAGACTATCTTGTCTGCCTAAAGGGACTGCCCTCCCTTGTCTGCTAACTACCTATTCCTGATAAATCTTACCTCCCATGTCAATTCCTACATAGCTAGCCAGACCATTCTTCCAGGTGGAACGAATCACTCTCTCCTTATACTCTATATATACTTGTACCGTAATATCTGTAACACTTTCATTTGCAAATGGATCTTCCCCTATGATTTATTTTTAAGCTTTGTGAAGGCAGGGACCATGTCTTATCCTCCCAAGTGTCCTAGAACTTGGTACAGCATCTGACACACAGAAGGCTCACAGTAAATGTTTGTTATGTGAACAAATGTTAACTAATTCAATTTCTAGTGACACCAAGATCAAGGGTCAGGTTTAAGACATGTTACCCATTTCCAAAACTACCAAGTGAGTATCAGACAGAAAACAGTCCCCTCATCCCCATCCACCCCTCACATTCTTAAGGAATTTCTTCTTGTTTATAAAATATTTTGAATTCTTAAGAGGTCCTCTCAAGAAGAAGCATGCTAACACCTAGTTATCTTTTCTGAAATGCCAAAAATAGGAGGGAAAAAAGACAAAAGGAATTAGATAAATTCTGATATGCTTTGGGAAATATATACTAAACATATGAGCAACAAATTTACATCACTACTACACTGGGCATAGGAAAAAAATCCTAAAGTGATGAATTAAAGAAATAACATCCAAAAGAAACATCTGATTATCAAACTTGAGAAACAAGAATTTATGCTCAGATTTGCCAAAGTTTACTTCTAAATTGTCATCTCCATTATGCTAGATTCTTACATGTTCAACAACTCTGTTCTTCAAGTCTTTCCACCTCTTTTCACCTTCCTCTGTGTAAGCGAATACATCAGTTGCAGGACTCTCAAGAGAACCTTTTCTTAATTCCATTCCATAGTCGTCAACAAGTGTGGACCAACGCATCAACTCCATTGTGGTAAAAAGCTTTAAAAGATCCCTGTAAATTGCATAAAACTTAATATTCCAAATATGTAAAACTTAAGTTTCATCCAACTTAATAGCAAATATTTAAACATCAACAAAGACTGTTTTTATAAATTTTTATTTGTAGAACGAGACATGAGTTGATAATATTTTACCAACTTTACTACCATTTTTTCCCACAGTAATTCTGAATAGAGCATTCCCCTACTTAACATTCTGCCCTCTCCTATATCATATTTGCCAATCTCTGGACTAATTCACTGTAAACTTACTAATGACACGGATAAAAGAAAAACAGCTTTAAAAAAACAAAAGCCCACTGTGCTTATGATGAAGCGTAAATCTGTTTTATTTAACAGATTTCCAGAAGTACTTACTTCGAAAAATCACGAAGCCCTAAACTACTGATAAAACTTTATCAAATGGTTAATGAACCAAAAGCTGTTAAAGTGAGCTTGAAATATTCTACTTGATCGGTGGTTTAGAACGAGGTATGTTACAATCTCATTATATTAATTTCTACTGCAGTGCTGAAAAACATTCTGCCACTTTATTATCTCTAGTTTTATTCTCTAATACCATCTATCTGCAACCAATTAAGAAGTGTACACTTAGGTTAACCAGTTTTTTCAAACTGGTGCTTCTATTGAGATATACTATACTAATTATAAAAGTACTTACTTGTATTTAGGAATTTCTTCTAACTTCTTGTCACCACTTATTCGGTGAACTAAATCTGACTGTTCATTGTCAAAAGGAGCCAAGATTACATAGAGGACAACACTTTTCAGAGCCTAAAAAAGTTGCACAACACAAGAGATTATATGCAAGATTAGAAACAAAATGGAAACTTTGGAAGAGCTGAAAAACCATGGAATAATTGTATATATTCGTTTTCAATACTGTATCCAAAAGTCTTATGGGGAAAAAATCATAACAGGCTGCTCTTTTTTTTTTTGAGGAAGATTAGCCCTGAGCTAACTATTGCCAATCCTTCTCTTTTTGCTGAGGAAGACTGGCCCTGAACTAACATCTGTGCCCATCTTCCTTTACTTTATATATGGGACGCCTACCATAGCATGGCTTTTGCCAAGCAGTACCATGTCCACATTGGATCCGAACCAGCAAACCCCAGGCCGCCGAGAAGAAGAATGTGCGAACTTAACCGCTGTGCCACCAGGCTGCTCTGTTCATAGTGTCTTTCTGTAACATTTAGTTTTCATAAAACCACTACAGTAAATCTTTGCTAATTTGAATTACTATCTGGGCTGACATTTTTTTTTTTAAACAAATGTATAAAAGAAAAAGTTCTTATAATAAGTTGGCAGCACAAATGTGGAATATCATATAAACTATTTATAATAGTTTTTGTAAAATAATTTTCCAAAGTAGTGCTAGGTCTTTATCTGCAACTTTTGTTAGCAGGTGCCCTGCTGTACATATTTTATATAGTAAGCCTACAGTCCTTCAAAGAGAATAAATAATTTAGAGTATTATCACAATTCGTCTGAATCAGTAAGGATAAACTGAATTATCAACATACTGAATAGAAAGCAGCACCATACAATTGCATATAATTACTGAAATTAAAATTATTTCAAATAAATAAAAAATGCAAATTCTTCCAAATAAGTATCACTGTCAAGTATAAGAATATATTCTTACCTGTTGCCACTTTTCACTTTCTGCCTGTATACAGGGAGTATCATATATTGCTCTGTAGTGCTTACAAATAGACAAATAGGATCCCTCATGTTGATCCAGCTGAATCATTAAGTTATAGTATTTCAACTTTAATTTCTGAAAAAAAGTTGACAAAATATATTGGAGTTTATAAGTTTTTTCCCAAACACTTTCAAAGCAAACTTATAATAAGACATATGCTTACCTCTGTATTTTCTTCCTGGAAAAATTTGGTATTAATTTTCTTACTGATGATTTGTGTACGAATGTAATCCTTTACAGCTAGGCAGAGCCTCATTTGCTCTAAAATAAACTCCACTCGCTCTTTCTTTTCCATTGACCCGTAGGTTTCCACCTAGCAAAGTAAGTCCCCAAATAAGTTTATAATAGTCAGTAATTCTTAAAATTGCAACAAAATTAAAGATATGAAAATATTCACCCTTGATAAATAATAAGAACCTTCATGCATATTGGAAGAGCACTGACAATGATAAAAAGCTACTTTCTTCCAGGAAATTACAACTAAAAAATTATTATACAGTAAAATGGATTTTTCTTTCTTTTGGTGTAAAGTTCTATAAATTTTAACATATATATAGCTTTGTGTAACTACCACCACAATCAAGATACAGAACAAATGATGTACACTTGAAATTTGTATAATGTAATAAAACCAATTTTACCGCAATAGAAAATAAAAAAAGATATAGAACAGTTCTACCACCCCAAAAGACCCCCTCACACTACCCCTTTATATCACGCTTCCCTCACTCACAACCCCTGACAACCAATGATGTGTTCTCCATCACTACAGCTATCTTTTTGAAGAGCATCAAATATAGCAGCAACCTTTTGAGACTGTCTGCTCGCTCAGCACAATGCTTTGAATACCAAGATTCATTCGAATTGTGTATATCAATAGTTCATTCCTTTTTATTGCTGAGTAGTATTCCATCGCACGGATGAATTACAATTTATCCAGTCACCTGTGAAGAACATCTGGGCTGATTCCACTTTTGGCCTATCATAAGCAAAGCTACTTTGAACATTAGTGGATAGGTTTTGTGTGAACATAAGCTTTCACCTCCCTTGGGTACCCAGGAATGCAATTTCTGGGTCACACGGCAAGTGTATGTTTAATTTGATAAGTCGCTTAACTGTTTCCAGAGTGGCTGCACCATCCATGTTGCATTCCATCAGCAATCTATGAGAGTTCCAGTTGCTTTGCATCCCTGCCAGGTCTTGGTATTGTCAATATTATTTAAATTTTAGCTATTCTAATAGGTATGTAGTGGTATCTCATTGTGGTTTTAATTTGTATTTTCCTAAGGGCTAATGAGGAAATTACAATTCCAAATACAAAAAAAGGATGACACCAGTTGCAAGCTTTCTATTTATATACTGATTAAAACCATTATATGAAAGAGGCACTGGTCTTTTTCAATTCAGCTATCAAGGCTGATGTGACTCCTAATGGATGCAGAATACAGAGTCACAGCAGATGCACACACATACCATGCAGAGAATCAATTCTATCAAATGCCACGAAAAAGTTCCTAATATAATATTTGGTATACATATATTGTAAGCGAACTTACAAAATCCAGAATGACACATTTGAAAGTAGAATGAAGTAAGACTATTATTGTTATAATTTGGTCTGAAAATGTTTTTATTTCACTGTCTTCTTCTATGTAATTTTTTAAGGAAAATAAAAACACACACAATGAACTATCAATGTTCCATTTATACATCTTTACCCACTCTCCATGTATCAATTACTTTGAAGCAAAACTCAGACAACATACATACAAATATTTCAGTATGTATCTCTAAAAGATAAACTGAAAAAAAATTATCATACCTAACAATTCCTCATCTTACCAAATAGCCAGTTAATCTCCAATAGTCTCACTTACTTTTTTTAATCAAATCGGAATCCAAATAAGGCTCATACTTTGCAATTGGCAGATATGTTTCTTATGTTTTTTTTTCCTTGTCATTTATTTGTTGGCGAAATCAAGTCAATCGTCCTATAGTTTCCCAGAATCTGAGTTTTGCTAGCTTTGTCCCTGTGGTGTCATTTAACAGGCCCCTCTGCCTCTGGTGCATCCTGCAAACTGGCAGTTACCCCCAAAAGCTTTATATAATCAAGGTTAATCTTCTTGGCAAGAATATCTCACAGGAGATGTTGAATCATAAGGCACATAATCCTGGTTAAAAAACAGTTTGGGGGCGGGCCCCATGACCTAGTGGTGAAGTTTGGCACTCTCCACTTCGAGGGCCCAGGTTTGGCTGTCAGGCACAGACCTACACCACTTGTTGGAGACTATGTTGTGGTGGCAACTCACATATAAAATAGAGGAAGACTAGCATAGATGTTAGCTCAGGGTGAATCTTCTTCAGCAAAAAAAAAAAAAAAAAAAAAGTGTTAAAGGCAAAACTACAGACAGTAAAAAGATCAATGGTCACCAGGGAGAGAGAGAGATGAATAGGCAGAGCACAGAGGATTTTTACGAGCAGTGAAACCACTCTGCACAATACCACAATGGTAGATACATGTCATTACACATTTGGCCAAACCCACAGAATGTATGAACACTAAGAGTGAGAACCTAATGTAAACTATGGACTTCAGGCAATAATGAGGTGTTAATGTAGGTTCGCCAATTATAAGCAAGACACCACTCTGGCGCAGGATGTTGAGAGCAGGGGTGATTGTGTGGGTGGGGGGCAGGCAGCATATGAGGAATCTCTGTACTTCCACTCAGTTTTGCTTTGAACCTAAAGCTGCTCTAAAAAATAAAGTCTTTAAACTAAAAAGAAAAAAAAAAGTTTGAAGTCAAACAGAACTAGTGTGAATCCAAACTTCTAGGCTATGAATATAGGCAAGTTACTGAACTCCTTTGAGTCTCAGTTTCCATGGCTGAAAAATGGGGATAGAAATAGTGTTGTGTGTGACTGCTAAATGAGATAAAGTATATAGAGAACATAGGACATGTTTTAAAAAAAGAACGAAGAAAACGCATAGCAAACAAAATCCTTCCAGTATTACTGATGGGCTAAACTTATGAGAAAAATTTTGAGCTAGTTCATGTACATTTTTCTAGTGAGAGAATCTATGGTTTTCCTTGCACTTCTTGGCTCTTTGCTTTCTCATTTTAAGTTCTCTCTTAAAAATTGTCCTGGGGCTGACCCTGTGGCCGAGTGGTTAAGTTTGTATGCTCCACTTCAGCAGCCCAGGGTTTCACTGGTTTGGATCCTGGGCGTGGACATGGCACCGCTCATCAGGCCATGCTGAGGCAGCATCCCACATAGCACAACTGAGGCACTCACAACTAGAATCTACAACTATGTACCAGGGCCTTTGGGGAGAAGAAGAAGGAGGGGAAAAAAAAATTGGCAACAGACGTTAGCTCAGGTGCCAATCTTTAAAAAAAAATGTCCTGAACATGGTAAATTATGAGGCAATTTTTCTTTGTTAAATCAATTGACCACCAATCAAATATTCAGTAAGAATTAAGCCAATGATTAACAGCAAATTCCTAATGTACAAGTAAATAGTACATGATTACTAATTTTATTTAAATTTCAAAGAGAAATAAAATGTTCAAATAGCACAAAATCAAGACTGATTTGCTGATCATAACTTTTCTTCAAACCTTTTTTAGCAGTTATATTTAGTTGGGACCATAATAACATAATTCTCAAGCTACATGAATAACTTCATCATCTACTGTACTTGCTCTTAATCTTGGTGGTTTGGAAAAAAGTGATTTGGTGCCAAAATAAGCTATTTTCACGAGAAAATATTGCTGACTAAATACAAATAGAGTTTTACGCACTATACAACGCAGCAGCTTACCTGCAACTCTTGTAAAATGGAGGCTGCCTCTTTCACGTCACCGTTTTGCTCTTTTATAGTTGCTAATGTTTTAGTCAGTCGAGCACGCTCAATTTCAACATAAATCTGCAAATGCAAGAAATTGATATTATCAAAATTCCTACAGAAATGTGTTAACATTTAAAAGGTAGAACTGAAACATTATTCAAACTAGGTGTAAGGGTATTCATCTTGCAGCTATTGTACACTTTATCCTCCGTGTACAAAGAGAGCCACGTGACATTTTACATTTCACAATCACCTAATTTTTAAGAAAATGTGTCTATAAAACATTAACCATATTTTGCAGCTTTGCTTTGAGAACCAAAATATGAAATCGCTGTTTAACAAATAACAGCACCACAAGCTACTAAATGGCACAGAAAATGGAAAGTGCCTTTAAAAGAACGGATTATTAGAAAAATAACACACTTTACAAAGACCATAAGCAGTCTGGTATCTATAATTCAACCAATATCCTAATTGTGACTTACCTTTAAATACAAGGTTACTTTCTTTAAAAATATCCGATCTTGCTAAGGAATAAAACTATCAGCATTTTTTGCAGCTATACGTAATGTTAGTGGATTTATAATTTCCAACAAATTAAACATTAAAAATATGACTACAGCCTAACAGTGTCTCGAGAACTAATTTTCATGCTCAGGCTTGCCTACCCCTTTAGCTGTTGCTCTGCAGCAACCACTTTTCTCCACTCCACCCCAAAAACCTAATCTCCAATAATAACTACTTCCAGTTTCCTAAACGTACTAATGTGTTTCTTACTTCGATATCTTTGTATATAATTTCCCCAATGTCTAAAACACCCTTCTCCCTATCCATGGGCCCTGTAGAATTTCTACTCATTCTTAAAAAGGCAGCTCAGCAGTCATCAACTCTTTGAGGCTTTCCTGGGTACCCCAGCCAGTCACCCCGTCCCTCTGTGCTATGGCGAACTGTAGCACACTGATACCGTCACAACACGGCACAGTAACTATTTCTACGATTGATCTCTTTGAGCTAAAGAAGACTGTCTTGTTCACTTTGGACTTAGCACAACACAGGTGCTCACTAAACATTTACTGAACTGAACTAACAGTCAAAGAGGCAATAAGTTAAATATAAGCGAAGTTTTTGTCCTCCAACCACAAAAATCTATCTAGAAAGAAGAAACATCTACCACAGTCACCATTTTACACTTGCTCTTTTTAGAGAAACATGAGATTAGGGAGAAAAAAAATAGGCATCAAAAGAAATACAAACAGAGTCTGGTAAGACAGTGAGATTTTGAAAAGTAACCTTATATGTACATACTCTACTAATTTAAATATTAGAGTGAAACCTTAGCTATCCCATAGATTTTTGAAACAAATCTAGGCCAGAGAATTAACCTTATCTTTAATTCATTATTACCACATGTAAATTTTGGATAAGATCATTAATTCCTAGAAAAATCTAGATATACCAAGACCGTCACTATTTAAATAAATTCATTTGCATATGGAAAAATATTAGAAGGAGATGCACAAAGATACTGGTTGAATTAAGGTGATGACATTTTGTGTATTTCATCTTAAAAGAAATATACATACATACTTATATAAAATGTCTAAATATATAAGTATCTCTGAATACAGATAAGACAGTACTTATCACTGTTGAGTTACACCAATAGAAAACTCACCTTTCCTTCTGTAACCATTCGTAGAGTATCTATTAATCGAAGTTTGATTGGAAGGTCCGTGATTTCCTCAACATAGGTACAGCACTGCTGAACCATTTTTGCAACAGCCTAAAATAATAAAAACCATTCCTCAGTAAAATTCATTCCTCACACAAGGAAAGTATTTTATTGATGGAAGTGCTATTGTCAAATGTGGTCTTCCCAAGCAATTCTAGACAGTGAAATGCTTATAAAAGAATGTCAAAATCTTCCCCCATAGCTAAGACATACTGAATACCCATTAATAAACCAATAAAGGTTAGGAAAACCTCAGATGCAAAGACTTGACCCCTCCTCACTACATGGTGATCTGATTACACAAAAGGAAAGCTGGAAGAGGTGTGTCTGGCAACATCTTGCTAGCTAGCTTTTTTGCAGCCAAGTAGAAAAGCATGGAAGAAGTGGTAGCAGACTAAAGGGGAAAAAAAGGGAAGAGAAAAGCAGAGTTCAATAGTAGCTGTGACAGTAGTGAAGCCATGACCAGCAGATACTGTGATGGAGAAAAAAGAGCTGGCGGCAGAGGCAGGAGGTGAAACAGCTCTATTGTCTGGGTGAGGGGGGGGGGCACAGTTACCCCTACACCTCAGTAAAATATGACAATGGAAGCCACAGCATCTCTTGCCCACAGTTTCCTCACAGATAATATAAGTGGATTGGACCACATTTCTTCTAGCTCTAACATTCTATGATCTAGGCCCAGTTTTCTGTAAATTTCTGTAAATATTTACCTAGTAAATATTTTAGACTTTGTGGGCTATACGGTCTCTGTGGCAACTAATTCAACTGTGCCTTTGTAACTCCAAAGCTGCCATAGAAAACATAAAATAAAAAGGCGTAGCTGTGTTTCAAAAACTGTCTACAAAGGTGGCAGGTAGGATTCGATCGATGGTCCACAGTTTGCCAAACGCTAATCTAGATTCCAAACAGTATATCATAATCACTGATAATAATATTAGGACTCTCTGTCATCAAGAAAATGTTAAGATATATTAAGCATATTTTAAGATAGCAGAAAAGTAAACAGAACATCTTGCTGTCAATTATACCTCAATAAAGCTGGAAAAAAACAAAACCCACAGTACATCTTGCAAAGGTTTCCTTGAAAAACACTTAATGTGTAGCTCAGGTTAGACTTTTAATTATTGGAAAAACTGGCTGTTCAGAGACCCAGGCATTCCAAAGTGCAGGTTTTATTGTAAAATATAACTCTTTCAATAAATGCAAGGCTCTGGGACACCTAGTATCTCACAAATCATATGATCCCTCTAAAACTAATTATAGCAATGATTTCTAGAAGGGCATATAACTTGATAATTCTAAGAGCTGTGCAAAAAAACAAATTACCAGAAATCAGATGAGGTAAAAGAAAAACAACTACATCAATATTATAATGATAAGTGAACATCCTGCTGCTCTCTGAAAAAAATGCAGGTAAGTCACTGGGGAGGTTTTGGCTGAGGTGAGGCTTTCCCTTGGGCTCAAGTGAATTAGAAACCACTAATTTTAAGCAATCTAGCAAAGGTTACTTTAAAAAGAAATCACTACTTTCTGAGTCTGATAAAGCAAAAAGCAAAAGTTTTAGGTAAAAGGTGGTTACAGGAAAAGGAAAGAGCCATTTTGAGTCCCGAAGCACTTTCCACATTTATGAAGACACAGTATGTTATAGTGAAGAGCAGTAGCCTGGGTTCCAGTCCAGCGGTGAGACTGGCCCAAACTCCTCTTTCTCTAAGAAGCCTTCCCTTATAAACCTCATCAAAAACTTTCTCTTGCACCTTTCATCTCTCCTAGCACTTTTCACTATTCTTAGGTTACCTACTAGGTATTACCTAGTGTCTCTGCGTGTGTGTGTGTGTATAATTTTTTTATTTTAAAAAAATCAATCTTAGAATACTTGTTAAAGACATATATTGATGACTTATGCTTTATATTCCATACTAAACTATAGGTTACTTGAGGGCAGAGCTATAGACTGCACGTTCCTTCACATTCCAAGAGCCTTACGTATAAATCTCAGTTTCTCCATCAGAAGAGTAAAAGAGTAGTATAATGCTAAGAGAAACAAGTCAGATGGAGAAAGTCAAATACTGTATGATCTCACTCATAAGTAGAAGATAAAAACAACAAAAAACACACACAAAGATATAGACATTAGATTGGTGGTTACCGAAAGGGGAAGGGGAAGGGGATGGGAGGAGGGCAAAAGAGGTGCCAGGGCACATGTGTGTGGTGATGGATAGTAATTAGTCTTCGGGTGGTGAACATGGTATAGTCTACACAGAAATCAAAATATAATGACATACGCCTGAACATTTATATAATGTTAAAAACCAATGTTACCATAATTAAAAAAAATAAAAAAAGAAAGAAGAGAGTAAACAGTTGCTTCTACTAGATCTGAAATTTTATGACTCTATGAAATTAAATCTGTATTTTCGGATACATACTTTGAATTTACTAATACTACATAAAATACAAGTTTCTATTTATTTTAACCCAGGTTGCTCCAAGACTTCTAATTAAATAGCCCTTTCAAAACTGTCCCAAAAGCAAATGTCTTGGAAAATCAGAAGATGATGATGATTTGTCTTTTGGTCTCTCAACCACAGAACTGAGTACCACAATGCATATTTAAATAAATTTCACATTCACATGTACTAGCTTGCCTCAATTAAATCTATGCTAATTCTTCTCTTTTTTGTTTTGAGGAAGATTAGCCCTGAGCTAACTACTGCCAATCCTCCTCTTTTTGCTGAGGAAGACTGGCCCTGAGCTAACATCTGTGCCCATCTTCCTCTACTTTATATGTGGGATGCCTACCACAGCATGGCTTGACAAGTGGTGCCAGGTCTGCACCCGGGATCAGAACCGGCAAACCCCGGGCTGCCGAAACGGAACATGCACACTTAACCGCTGCACCACCGGGCCGGCCCCTCTATGCTAATTCTTAACAACGAATTTTATATGCATGTAAAATTATCTAAAAAAAAAAAAAAGAAACAATTACAGTAACTTTGTTTTTTGCAAAAAATAATTTAACACAGTCTAATACTAAACTCTCTAGCAGTAGACTAATCAATAAAATAAGAGATTTGGACAAGAACCCTATATTTCTGGTTTTGGTTCCACTACTACCCTGTTTTACAATGTTGTTATCTTTACTACTTGAAAACAAAAAATAAAAACCCAGAAGCTACTCAGGGAACAGCATTTTATTTTATTTATTTATTTATTTTGAAGATGATTTGCCCTGAACTAACATGTGTTGCCAATCTTCCTCTTTTCACATGTGAGCAGCCACCACATCATGGCCACTGACAGACGAGTGGTGTAGGTCCACACCTGGGAACCGAACCTGGGCTGCTGAAGCAGAGCATGCTGAACGTAATCATTAGGCCACCGGCCCTGGCCCAGGGAACAGCATTTTAAAGATGAGATATAAATGTATAAAAATACTTCTACAGAGAATCACTGAAATATATCTCAAGTGGAAGAACAGGGAAACAAAAAATCCAGCTTCAAAAAACACCATAAGAGAATATATATAATATTTAAACAAAATGAGCAGTTGAAATAATCTGTCTGAAAATGGCCTCACAAATAAGTTCAATATTAAATGTTTAATAAAGGACATATGATTAAAGTAAATTATAGATTATCAACTTGATGGGTTATAATACAACCATTTAAAACAATAAACATTAAGCTATGAAGCAACATAAAAATAGAACAAAGCTGCATTGAAACTCAGTATAATTTTGTACAAATATGCAAATATATGAAGACTAAAAGAAAAAACAGAAATAAAAGCAGTTGTTATGAGAACATGGATAGAATTTTTAAAAACTCTCTAAAACGTTGTAATGTTGATTTCCCAGATCTTAAACAGATTCAGAATCTGTTTTCTAAAAGTCCTTATTTAAATGTAAATTTAAACAATTAAAAAATTAATTAAATTTGTTTTTTGAGCCATCAAGAACTTACTTGTTTTAACTGACTCCGTCTTTTTGACAAAAGCATAATATTTTCATTCAGTAAATCCCATTCTTTAGCCTCATAGCACATCTTCACTACTGCAACTAAGATACGGGATGTAGACACCATATCAGAAGCCTAGAAGAGTGAAAATATATGGAAGTTAATGGAACAATGTTAAATGAAATGAATGGTAATTGAGGTTTTTACTATAATCTACTCACAGTACGAGTCTGTTTTTCCAGAGAGAGAAGGGTTTCAATGACTTCTTGAAGTCTTCCTTCCTAAAACAAAAGATACAAATGAACAATGAAAATACCACCAACACAAAATCAAATAACTAGTCTTCAATGAGATGTTTCTGACACAGAAAAGGAAAAATCAATGGGCTATTCTTGAGGAAAAGGACCACCTCATAGCTACTTTTGTTGTGTTTTTCTCCTTTTCTTGTGAATGCTTGCTTGCTTCTCTAGTGGATTCCATAAGTTAGTGGTTCCCAACTTGGAGCCCACAAACTGTTTTTAACATTTCAAAATGCCTGAAAGAAACTGAACATAGAACAACAATGACTTAACACCTGAGGAAAACATCAAGTCTTTGTTTTGGATTCTAATTTATCAACTCAGCGTAACATCTGTTTATCTTGTTCTGAATAGAGACTTTAAACATGTGTCTTTGACAAATAAAAACGGGAGAATGATTTCCTTATAAATTCACCATAACAAATACTTTAGAATATGAAGTTTTGAGGAGAAATCAAAGGACATTTGGTGGTAAAAAGATAGAAAACTCTGGTGTAATTTTTCAACGACTTTAAAAATAAATCAGTAATTGTGCTTAAAGGAAATGAAGACCATCTGAGAATTCCCATGCATGCTATACCAAAAGTCATGCTCTTAGCAGATACTGTTCTAACTGAAATACACTCCTTTTGACAACTGATAATATCTTCTATCTCATATGCACAAACAAAACATTCTCCCCGGGGCATACTTTAAGAAACGGGAATAACAAAATTCAGATAATATAAACTTAAATGATAATACACCAGGACTAAAATAAGCCATCCTATTAGGAACCACACATTTTGATAAAAACAAAATCAATCCACAGCACAAAAATTGTACGTATTTAAGATACTAATATTAATAACTGTAAATGAATTGGAAGAGATGAGAAAGGGTTTATTTAGAAATGTTTTTTCTACCATAAATGAAAAAATGTTTTATCTTAATGCATTCATGGACAGTACATGAGAACTACTCTTTTACTGATTAAAGAAACTAATTAAACAACTTTTGAATTAGGGGCACAAATAATGTTTGGACTTTTCAAAATATCATTTCCATATTTTCCAACATAACTCTTAAAAATATGAATTTTCTATGCATCATAGAATATGTACTGTATAGCCATTGTTTGAACTTATTTTAATTAAATACGAAACATATATTACTATTGTATTTTAACGTTTCCTATACAAAAGGGGAGCACCAGCTCTGAAAGCTCTATAAATTCATGAGTACAATAAATGCTGGCTAAATGTCCATTAGGGGAGAAGAACAAAGAACAAATCTATAAATACTCCAAAGTTAAAGGCTAATAAATCAGAAAAGATCAAACGAATCTTTGAACTGGGAAAACTGCTAGAGACGATTTAATCCAATCTCCTCATTTTAGAGATTAAAGAATGAGGACCCAACAGTTCAGCCACAAACTAATCAGGAGAAGCAGAAGCCAGGGCTCTTGTCTCCGGGTCCAACGTTCCCTCCGATACACTAAACCATATTAGTTTAAATCACACCTTTGCTTTGATCAAAATAATTTCCCTAGGAAAAAGATTACTATCTGGCAACAAAATCTAGTGAAAAAAAGAGTTAAAATGCAAAATACTGTTTATTGATGGTCACTCCCTGTCACTTTTGCCATTACTGTTAGTCATGTGACTGTGATCAACAGAGCGTAGGTTACTATGTGGTACTTTAATTCAGAAGTATGAGTTTTAAAGAACTGCATCCTACATGTAATAGAATCACACACCACTCTAGAGCCATGGTCTGCAGGCATCAACGAAACACTAAATGTCAGTTCAGAAACGCAGTAGTCACTTGGCATCTCCTTCTTCAACACTGAAGCCCACTGACTGCTTTGCACCGATCCCAAACTCTTTTCTATTTTAATATTTATTGTTTTTCTAATCTCACTAGAATGTAAACTTTGTAAGAGCAGGGACCATGTCTATACTGTTCACCACACAGCTCAATGCTCTGTACCTAGCCAAGCACATAACGTTTTTCTGAAGGTATTATGACATATTCCTTTATACCTTGTACCATAGTTATTAATGTCATGTCTTGCCTCCTACGTGGTCTATAAGTTCCTTTAGGGCTGGGACCTTGTTTGACTGTTGTTTCCCTTGCACCAACTTGTACACAGTATGCGCTGAGGAGATCGACACTGACCTGAACTATTCAGTTGATCTTAATGGCTTACAATTTCTGATTCTTACTGTTACAGTAAACAGGATGTGACAAGTTATATGGCTTTCAATTCAGCGCTATTTGAGGGACACTACCATTAACTTCATTAAATACAACTCCCAATTCTCTAATCATCCCACTTTTTTCTCCCAATCTTGCGTGTTCAATCCTATAGCTAAACATCCTCCTCCTTCCCTTCCTATCTATTGACATAGTTCTTGAAATTCCACCTCTTCAATGCTGCCTTTCAACTCAAAGAAACAAGATGGGCAGAGCTATCAAAACCAACTTGTCAGAACATGTGAATTTTGCAACTCATTTTTCTCATTAAAATAATCTTTGCAAATGAGATAAATGACTAAAGAGTTTGTTCAACATCAACATATGTTGAGTATCTGTAAGTTCTGTATGTTCGTGTCCTTTAACTCGTAAATGGATCCAATCACTTAAGGATTTGTTAAACAACCTAAACAAGAAAAAGGCCAAGAAAAAGTTAACCACAAATAGTTGAAATTTAATGCCAATCCAATAATTTTAAATAATCTATTTCTTAAAGGAGTCTTTTGCCTATGCTGCTAACAACCAATAAACTGTTTTACTTTTCATCTCCTCTTTATTTTTAATATTAACCCTGAGAAGAAGCTGCAGGTGACCAAATGAAATGAAAACACATTTAGAGGAAGGAGAACCAAAGGATATATTCAATTTAAGAATGTTAGTAGGCCCCAAATAACTACGGGCCAAATATATTGTAATCAAAAAGTGAGGCTGAGTGGGGGTGCAGGGAATATAACCCTCTGTGTACTAAAAAGTGCTAAATGCCACATCTTCACAGTTCAGAAAAGGCCCTCTTTAGATTAATTTTTAACTCCCTAATTCAAGGGTGAAGCAATAATCATTATCAAGAACTAATATCACTTTTATTATCTCACCAACCTGATGCAGGGTCCTCAAATACCAATCACAGAGGCAGTAGAATGTAACGGTTAAGAACACGGGCTCTGCAGCCAGACTGCTGGGGTCTAAACCCCAGCTCTACCTGGGCAAGACGCTTCCCCTCTCTGACCCTCAATTTTCTCTTCAGTGAAATGAGCGTAAGAGTTCCGACCCCACAGTGTTGGTGTAAGGATTGAAGCAACACCTATGAAGGTATGCCTGGAACAAAGTGTGTACGTTATCATCATCATAATAGCTAACATTATAGAGAAATCACACAGCAGTAAATATTAGTGTCTGCTGTTATTTGCTAAGTGACTTTTAGGACACAGAAACAGAATTATACTAGGTCACAACTGTAGGAGATTCAAACGGCCTAGATTTAGCAATTTTACCACCCAGGTCCAGACTTCAGTTTTACTTGTGAAGGCTTCTGCTATATGTAATTTTCTCACCTGATACATTCTTATGAAGTCTCTATACACATATAATTTTTATCTTTAAATGTCTTTCACATTAAAAATTTAAAAAGTCTTGGGGCCAGCCCAGTTGCACAGTAGTTAAGTTCACGTGCTCTGCTTCAGCGGCCCGGGGTTCACTGGTTCAGATCCCGGGCGTGGTCACACTGCACCGCTTGTCAAGCCATCCTATGGCAGGCGACCCATGTATAAAATGGAGGAAGATGGGCACAGACGTTAGCTCAGGGCCAAGCTTCCTCAGCAAAAAGAGGAGGGTTTGGGGTAGATGTTAGCTCAGGGCAAACCTTCCTCAAAAAAAATAAAAATAAAAAAATAAAAAGTCTTAAGGAAAGTAAGCACAAAAGTGCTATTCCTTTAGAGAGGTTCTGGACGTAGCCAAAGGACACTATACCAAGTGCCAGGAGACAGGACTTGATCTGGTTCTTCTCTGGACCTTCGATAAAGCACTTAAGCTGCCTGAACCTTAGTTTTCTCACAAGTAGAGTAAACGTAACAAAACTTTCTTCAGTTTTATTGGTGGGCTCGAAATAAAAAAACAAAAGAATGTATGCTAAAGTGTTCCATACATTCCAATGTAGAAATGCAATGCTTTAAGTAAGTATTTTCTTATGTTTGGCAGAATGGTTAGAAAATAATATATTACGATGAATAAAAAGCAAAATAGAGAAACATATCTAAAAAAATTAACTAGGACTATAAGACAACCACCTAATCCAAAAGTTGAAAACTGTGGGTCTGTATAAACAAATAAACACCTTACAGCATCCCATCCCCAGCACCCTTGCCCCGACCTCCCTCCCCACAAAAACAATCCAACCACACCCTGTTTTGTTCAACAGGCACGCTAGCCTAAAAAACCCAAACGGCTTTACTTATACATAGTTTAACAGGCCCCCATACTCCGTTTTAAACATTTCCATTACTCATTTAACACCTACAAAGGTATTTGGCATCTGAGTTTTCAAGTCCCTTCAACTGTCCTGAACATGACGACAATATCCTAAATAAACGCATGTGATCTCTAGAACAGGTGTAGCAGGTGAACTATTGTTTTCTTGCTGGCTGTAAGCTCTTGAGGGCAGGAGCTTCTGTAATCATCTTTCTACCTCCCACAAGGTCTAGCACTGACTAGGTCTAGCACACAGCAGACTATCAGAAGAAATTGGTAAAGGGGAGGTTTTTCCTCCCAGGTCTCAGCACTAGGAATAGCTGTGCTTCTTTAAAGCAAATGGTTTCTTCCTTACAGACACTGTCAATCTATTAATTTCAAAGTGGTGGTTCAGGGGCTGACTTTGGCCTGTAGGTTGTTTTGTTTGATCTACATGCTACGGGCTCAAATAGTGTTTTAAAACAGGTTAACGTCCACCTTCTAAATATTGAGGCAATTATATAAAAATCCATTCCTGCTTTCTCTCTCAAATTAGAAGAGTTGACAAGGCTAGGCCTTCATTCCCAATTGGCAAAGACAAACTGGAGGTGAGGTGTTACTGCCCTCCTTCCCCGGGCAGGTGCTCAGAGGTTCAGGTTTTCATTACCCTTGGCTCACTAGGCAGGACAGCACGGTCAGAGCACAAGCTCTAGAATCAGTCAGGGGTTTGGGTTTGCATCCTGGCTCCACCACTTTACTAGAGGTAAGACCTTGGAGCATGTGACTCAACTTCTCAGACTGTTTTCTTGTCTGTAAAATAAGAATAATAATAATACCTATCACATGTCGTTAAGCTGAGGATTAAATGACTAAATGCACGTTAGTACTTAGAAGAGTGCCTGGCACCATAGAAAGTTCTCAATAAATGTCAGCTGTCGTTATCTGCCTGGCACTGGAGGTGTTTGAGTTTCCCAACCCTTATGTAACTGATGGCGTTTCTTTACAGTAGCTGCTAGAAAGCTCAGAAGCGAATTTATGGCTCCCCTGTAACAAGTGTACGGAACCTAAGAAACACAGGTGTATCAACTTTATTATCTTTTCCTATCTTCGTCTTTTGCAAAGCCCCACTAAATTCTTTCTTGGAAAAAAGGGAAGCATTAAAAAGCTTTCTTTCTAAGAGCTAAATGTGAAGTATTACTGACACTCCTCCTGCCACTGAATTTATTACACTTTGATGTACTTATGTAGTAAGCTCCTTAAGGGACAAAAACAACCCTACTAGTGAATGCATCCCAGGTGAATAGCAATAAATGTTTGTGGCTGGATTGATCAAGGAATTTAATGAGGCCTCAGCATAATCCTTAGCAACAGCTCATGATGGAACTGATTCAAGAACCACCCAAACCCTAGTCAGGCAAACTTAGCTTTGGATCCCTGGTTCTACCTATCACTACTGGAATGTTGGACAAATAACTCTGAGCCTTAGTTTCTTTGTATGTAAAATGATGCACAAAATTGCCTGCACATAGCAGGGGGCATGATAAATGTTTGGATCAAGCTAAGTTTCTATTCCATGGAGATAAGCAGTTGGGAACTACTGTTCATGGGCTCCCCTGATTAGGTTACTCTGCACTTTAATGCCTATTTGTGTTGACTTCTGTAGTTCCTGCTCCAGGGATGACTTCTCCTCACCCCAATCTTATTCATTCTTCAAGGCCCAACACAAACGTCAGCTTCTCTGTAAAACCTTCCCTTATCCCACCCGTAAGAAAGAAGAGATTTCTTCTCTGTGTTCCAGTAACACTTGAATACTGTATGGCACTCACCACCACGCGTGACTTGCCTAAAGCCTTACGTATACAAACTCCTTAAGGACAGGGGTCCTGTGTTAATCACCTTCGGACTATCACTTTCCTGCCCCTTCTCCTGGCCAAAGGCTAGGCACATCGCCGTGATCCATGAACAGCTTAACGACATAAACTGATTCAGCAAGAGCAATAGAACTAAACTCTCTGATGTAGCATGAATGCTGAAGAGGCCTTAACCCAGGGGAAACTACTAAACTAAACGTTAAGGAGAATCCAAGAAAAGGCAAAGAGTACTATGGGGCCCCAACTCCTAAGGGGACGAAGTGACCACCTGTCCTGGGGAGCGTTCAGGAAGCTGTATGCGCTATCGTACGCCGGCTGCGGAGTCTCCCTTCGGGCAGACCTGGGATCTCCTATTCATGCAGGCCCAACCTGGGCTGGGCAGGCAGTGCAGGGTGTGCGCTCCAGCCTGCCGGCCCCCGAGGCCTAGGGAAGCTCCGCGCCGTGACTCAGCCCCTGGCGCCCGCCAACAGCGGGCCGGCCTCCCCTCACCTTGGCCAGCTTCTCGCACTCGGGCAGTCGTTGATCCACCGTGGCGCTGTAGTCCACCTCCATCTTGACGATGCGCCCATCAGCCCGCTCCGAGCCGCCGTCCGCCATGGTCCCTGCCTGAGCGTCCCTTGATGTCCCTCTACTTCGGCCACCACTCGTCACCCACACCGGAAGCCGCCTGCGCACCCTCTCAGGCAGTGCGTCGGGAGCCCGCACGAAGGACCCCACGAGGTCCCCTGCGCTGGCCGCCAGTCAGGCACTGCCGCGGACAGCCCTGGGGGGCGGAGCGGGGAGGCGGAGTTGCCCCTTCAGTCTATTTCCGGTCTGGTCTTTGATAGAATTTCATCTGAAGTTTGCGGTGAGAAAAGCTAGTGTGATGAAGTAGGCCATCCCGTATATTCCTACACCCTTCCTGTGAAATATTATGATTTCTCAGAACCGTGGGCCAGTCGCTTAACTTTTCTTGGCTCTCGGTTTTCTCATCTTTCTGTGAGCGGGCTGAAATACACCCTAAAGAAAAAAGGTCTAAGGTTTCACCTGGTTGAGAATCTTGGTGGCTTAATCTGTGACATCTCTGAAATCTCAAAAGAGATTATGCTTCTCAGTAATATAACAAAGTATTTTTTGTTTGTTTTCGTTTTTACTATAATCCACTGCGTTGATAAGAATCTTTAGAAAGATATTTCATTCTTTCCCTAGAGGACTCTTGTGAGCGTATGCGAGACTTTCGATTCTTAAGGACGTTACAGATTTTCTTTATTATCATCCACACCATCTGGGTTCCTAAAAAAAAAGCTTAGAATCCTTGAAAGTGAGAATGAGGTTGTGTGTGGTGTGTTCCAAGTGTCAACAGTAGCAGGGGAAGCAAATGGGAAAACTTGGAGTGGTCTACCTGTTATGTTAGTGATTCTCAATTTAATCAGCACCAACATCCTTTTATATATGCTGAGTAGACTTTTTTTTTTTTTGGTGTTCTGTAATGAAAATCATGGATAATGAAACCCATCTATACACATAATTTAAAAAAAGAAAACATTTTAGCTGTAACATAAAGGAGAAACATTGCAAAATAGCAAAATAAATATTTCAGAATAGAAAGGCTAAAACATGTCTACAGTAGACAATGCATAGAAGTAGTCGTTTGCGTGTACGTATACACAATAACTGTAAATGCAAAAGGGACAACTGTAATAGATGTGTTCCATTGCTTCCTCAAACGTCATAAGGGCTTACTGTTGGTGGCGTGATTTTTCCAAAATGGTGTACAACTTCCTAGTAAAGTTCTGACAATATCAAAGTATAATCTTCCATTGTTTTTCACATAGAAGAATTCTTAGAAATTTTAGTGCATCTTAAAATTTCCAAAAAAAAAGATTGCTTGGCATATGTAAAATGGAGTTAGAGTCGAGGCCTAAGATACATAAGTAGGTGTCTCGCAGGACACTGAAAAGTCACATAGACTGTGGGACAATATTTTATTGTGTAGGTTTGTTGCCTTGCAGGTGTCTAGCATCCCAGTTACGTGCTGATATCTCCCTCTCTCCCCAGTGATTGTGACAACCCAAAATTCCCTTATAGATTTCTAAAACACACTCTAGAAGCTAGCATTGTTGAGACACACTAGGCTAAGATGTTTTCTGGCTCTATATTCGGTGTGCAATTGAGCAGACAAAAGGATTTGGAAGTCTATTTTGTGTGAAGAGTTTGAAAAGACAAAAAGTAACAAAGGTGTGATGCAGTAAACAGATTTACGGTTTCTAGAACTCAAAAAATAAGAGTATGAGGGGCTCTAAGAAGGAGGCAAGCAGGTGGAGCAAGTGCTAGTGGGCTCCCACACCAAACTGAAGGCCTTCCTCGCTAGGCTTGGAGGTAACGGAAAATGAAAGCAAGTTGAAATCTGAGGAAAAGCTTGCAAAGGAAACAAAAAATTAAAGTGAAGTAAATAAAGAAGGCACTCAGTAAAAGTCTGAGCAATGGTCAGAGAAAATAGTTAGGAGTACTGTATTATAGACAGACTCTTTATAAATCCTTTATTTGGGTGAGTCTGAGATTGAATTTGTGGCTTTGTAAGAAAGAATTTGATTTCTGAAGAGAAAAATTGGCAGTGGAGGAATAAGGAATCTAAAAGGCAGGGAAAAATACTGATTGGAAAAAGTTTATTCAGAAAGAACAGTGATAATGTATATTATGAAACTAATTATTGAACGTGTGCCTATATATTAATTACTATGTTTTGTATATTTTTTCATATTTGGCATTTCTAGCATGTTCATCTTATTGGCTGTGCACATATCTGACCCAAAATTCCTGCCTTTGTGAAGTCAACATTCTAATGGGGGAAAGACAGAAATAAACACGTAAATATGGGTCAGGGGAGATAGTGTTTGGGAGGTGGTCACGGAACGCATCGATCATGAGCTGAGACTTGAGGTAAGTAAGAAAGTCTTGCAGATAGCTAGGGGATGAAGATTCCAGGCAGAGGCAGGAGCAAGAACTCCTAGGTGAGAGCAATCAGGTCATGCCTGGCCTGTTTTAAGGCCAGATGAGTGAGGGCAAGAGTTGTAAGAGATGAGATGTAGGGCAATCTCGCCATTATAAGGACTTGGTTTTTAATCTGAGTCTGATGGGAAGCCAATGGGGGTTTTGGGCAAAGGAGTAGCATGAGCTGACTTACCTAGTAAATGAATCTCTCTGGCTGCTGTGTGGTGACTAGGTTGGCAGAAGCTGGGAGACTAGTTGGGAGATTAGTGCAATAATCCGGGAGGAAAATGATGGTGTCTTGGACTAGGGTGGGGGCAGTAGAAGTGGTAAGATCCTGGATATAATCTGCAGGTAGAGCCAAGCTAGGATTTCCTGTTGGATGCGAAGGGAGAAGAGTCAAACATGTCTGCAAGATTTCGGCCACAGTGTCTGGAAGGATGGAGTTGCCATTTACCACAGTGGAGCAGATTAGGGACAAGCAGGTCAGGGAGGAAAGGACAGGAGCCCCGTTTTGGTTATAAGTTTGAGGTGCCTATTGGATATCCAGGTGACGATATTGAGAAGGCAAGTGGACATACAGGTGTCAAATGAAGGGGAGTCATTTGGGCTAGAGATTTGAAGTTAGGTGTCACTAGCATATTGATGGTATCTACAGCCATGAATCTTACATTACAGAGATGTTTCTGAAATGTGTGTAAAATACCTGTTTATATATTTTAAAGGCAATGGGAGAACTTGGTGTTTTCAAGTCTGTTGTGAATCATTTTGTAAGGAAAGTCATACTGTATTTTACCTTCTGAGTAGATCTCTAGGTTCTTTGTTAGAATTACTTCATGTCAAGTGCAGTTATATGAGGTAAATAAAGTCATACCTACATCATTGTATTTGTTTACTCTTGCTGCTATAACAAATAACCACGAACTTAGTGGCTTAAAACAACGGAAATTGATTCTTTCACAATCTGGAGTCCAGAAATGTGAAACTAGTATCACTGGGTGGAAGTCAAGGTATGCTGGGGCCATGCTCCCTCTGGAGGTTCTAGGGGACAATCCATTCATTGCCTCTTCTAGTTTCTGGTGGCTGTGGGCATTCCTTGGCTTGTGGCCTCATGAGTCCAGTGTCTGGCTTCATGGTCACATTGGCTTCTCTTCTGTGTGTGTGTCAAATCTCCCTCTGCCTTTCTCTTAGACAGTTCGGACACTTGTGGTTGTATTTAGGGCCTACCCAAATAATCCAGGATAATTGCTTCCACTCAGATTTCTTAATCACATCTGCAAAGACCCTTTTTCCAATAAAGTAATATTTTCAGATTCCAGGGCTTAGGGCCAGATATCCTTGGGGGCCATTATTCAGCCTAACTAGTGTCACCTAGGCAATTTTTAAACTGATGTTTTGGTACTGGCCCCGTGGCCTAGTGGTTAAGTTTACACACTCCACTTCAGCAGCCCAGGGTTTCACCAATTCAGATCCTGGGTGCTGACATGGCACTGCTCGTCAGGCCAGGCTGAGGTGGCGTCCCACGTAACACAACCAGAGGCACTCACAACTAGAATATACAACTATGTACTGGGGGAGCTTTGGGGAGAAGAAGGAAAAAAAAAAGATGGGCAACAGATGGTAGCTCAGGTGAGAAAATAAATAAACTGATGGTTTTTTTACTTTTTTATTGCGGTAACAGGATTATATAAATTTCAGGTGTACATCGTTATGTATTTCGACTTTTGTGTAGACTACATCATGTTCACTACACAAAGACCAATTACAAATCCATCACCACACACTTGTGCCTACTCACCGCTTTCGTCCTCCTCCCTCCCCTCTTACCCTCTGGTAACCACCAATCCAATCTCTGTTTCTCTGTTTGTTTGTTGTTTTTATCTTCTACTGATGAGTGAGATCATATGGTATCTGACTTTCTCCCTCTGACTTATTTCACTTAGCATAATTCCCTCAAGGTCTATCCATGTTGTCACAAATGGCCGGATTTCATCATTTCTTATGGCTGAGTAGTACTCCATTGTGTATATATACCATATCTTCTTTATCTATTCGTCCCTTGATGGGCACCTAGGTTGCTTCCAAGTCTTGCCTATTGTGAATAATGCTGCGATGAACATAGGGGTGCATGTATTTTTACTTACTCGTGTTTTCATGATCTTTGGATAAATACCCAGCAGTGGAATAGCTGGATCATATGGTATTTCTATTCCTAATTTTTTGAGGAATCTCCATACTGTTTTCCATAGTGGCTGCACCAGTTTGCACTCCCACCAGCAGTGTACGAGGGTTCCCTTCTTTCCACATCCTCTCCAACACTTGTTGTTTCCTGTCTTGTTAATGATAGCCCTTCTGACTGGAGTGAGGTGATACCTCATTGTAGTTTTGATTTGCATTTCCCTGATAGCTAACGATGTTGAACTTCTTTTCATGTACCTGTTGGCCATCTGTATATCTTCTTTGGAGAAATGTCTGTTCAGATCTTTTACCCATTTTTAAACTGGGTTGTTAGATTTTTTGTTGTTGAGATGTATGAGTTCTTTGTATATTTTGGATATTAACCCCTTATCAGATATATGGTTTGCAAATATCTTCTCCCCATTTAAACTGAGGTTTTGATATGAATGATTACATACTCTTAGTAGCAAACATAATTTCCTCTTTTTCTGTCTGGTAACATTTAAAATGTTCTACAAAAAGTTGAATTACATGGGGCTGGCCCGGGGGCAGAGCGGTTAAGTTTGCACGTTCCACTTCTCGGCGGCCAGGGGTTTGCCGGTTCGGATCCCAGGTGTGGACATGGCACCACTTTGCAAAAGCCATGCTGTGGTAGGAGTCCCACGTATAAAGTAGAAGAAGATGGGCATGGATGTTAGCTCAGGGCCATTCTTCCTCAGCAAAAAGAGGAGGATTGGCAGTACTTAGCTCAGGGCTAATCTTCCTCAAAACAAAACAAAACAAAAGTTGAATTATATGACATCTCAATGGCACCACATAGCTAAGAAACAGTATTTCCAGATCTGTGTGATACTAGGTCACATATGCTTTGGCATTAAAGAATTACAATAAGTTATGGTTACACAATTGCCTGCTCTTAAAGGACACTCAGGATGAAGAGCAATGTCTTCTTTCATCACTAAAATTTCTCTCCAGTGCAAATAGGTTACATATAGTCTCATAGTTCCTCTCAAAATATTCCAAAGTTTTGCCAATTTCTGTAAAAACAGGTAATGCAATAAAAAGTAAAACTTTGATTGCTAGCTTATTAAGAAAAAAGACAAAACTATACCTTTGGCCACAGAACCTCCACATTTTTTCCTGTGTGAAGCAATTTGTACCACATCATTGTCAATTAATTTTTATTTTATGAGCATTTACCACACAGCTACAAGCAATTACACATCAAAGGGATTCTCTGTATTTAACAGAGGCCTGAGAAATGGGTCTACACATCAGAATTGCCTTGGGACTTACTTTGTGTAGTTTTACTGGGAATGAATTTAACTTTACTTAGTACCTAACAACATCAGACATAGGGGTGTTTAACACACACATACCGGAGCCGGCCCCGTGGCCAAGTGGTTAAGTTCCTGCACTCGGTGGCCCAGGGTTTCACAGGTTCGGATCCTGGATGCAGACATGGCATCACTCATCAGGCCATTCTGAGGCGGCATCCCACATGCCACAACTAGAAGGACCCACAACTAGAATCTACAACTATGTAGTGGGGGGCTTTGGGGAGAAGAAGGAGGAGGAAAAAAAATTGGCAACAGATGTTAACTCAGGTGCCAATCTTGAAAAAAAAACACACACACACACAAAGGCATACATAGACATAGACTTTGCTGGAATTAAACAATATTTAATAACCAAAAATTAATTGCAAAGGATAACACTTGATTTTCAAAAATCGCCCTTATAAAGGGGGGCATGTCAAAGGACACGGGAACCAATGTGCGAGAGCTACCAATGGTCAAAGCTGGAATAATATGAGCAACAAAATTAACACAGTAGTGAGCTATAACTCAAAGTATAGAATAAATATACATGAGTCCACACGATATAAAGAAATAATTGAATGAATAAATAAATGAGGGAGAAGGGGCAAGTCTTGCAGAATTCGGTATTATATATGCAGATACTCACCCCTCAAGGAGGTGGGGCTTAATTCTGCTCCCTTGAATGTGGGCTGCACTTAATGACTCACTTCCGAAGAAGAGCATATGGAAAAAGGAAAATAGTCACTTTACAATGGGAAAACTTGGCAGACATTACCTTAACCAGGTGATCAATGTTAAGGTCAAGCCCTTTATCAAGGGCTACTTTGGTAATATAAAGAGAATATGGGAATGAGAGGGGGACATCTTTCTATCACTGTGATGTAACAGTTTTGTTTTATTCCTTCTCTCCTCAGCCCTAATTTTGACAAGTTGAAAGTCAGTCTCTCCAAAATCGTCTTCTTGGAGTAGCTAAACCTTTAGGTAAGATCACTGAATGTCACAGTAATCCTGTGGTTCTCCACTGCAGGAGTTCCCCCTTCCATTCCCACCCCCATATTTGGCATTTGTGTGTGGGAGGGGGTTTGCTACTGATATTTAGTAGGTAGAGACCAGGGATGCTGCTCAGCATCCTACAATGACACCCACAACCAAGAATTGTCTGGCACCAATGTCAATAGTGCCGAGGTTGAGAACCCTGACCTAATAAATGCATACATCTAATAGATGTTTATTGGGTACCTACAATATCCCTCACACCAGGCTACGTTTCCTAGATGACACTGATGGGACATGGTCTGTCTCCTCAGGAAGCTTACCATCATGTTGGGGAGTTGGAGAACAGGTGAAACACTTACAGTACAGTATGTGACATTTTATATATAAATGCCACACTGACATACAAACAAGAACCAAAATGAATAGTCCAGGTACGTGTTCTGGGTTGTCTAGAAAGAGTTATCTAGAATCGCTCTGTGTAGGATCTCCTACACAGAGCCCTATCTGTGGGTGCTTGACGAACCCACAGACCTTAAATATAGTGAGTACGAAAGAGGAAATGAGAAGAACCATCAACACCTTCAAGGCTCTTTGGAAGTAGATATTGCTGACTCCGCTGGTTGAAAAGAAACAAAGATACAATTCTCCTTGCCAGACTCCTGCTGACGAGCAAGAAACACTTTTAACAGTGTCTGACCAGTAGATGGCACCCTCCTCCCTTCGTGTGAACGAGTTATGAATGAATAAGCTCTCCCTTTGCCCTCCCCTCCCCCAAGCGCTGTTGTAGTGAAAACCAATCCGTCGCTGAGTCCATTCCAAATCTTTTAAATTCATCGTCTTTCCTTCATTTACTGTCTAATTCAGACCTTCCCCATATGTCGCCTATAGTAGTGTAATAATATAACCTCCTGCCTTTGGGTATCCGGCTGTCCTAAACCTATCCGACACATTGCCATCAGAACCACTTTCCAAAAACACGGATTGTCAATGCCCTGCTGAAGAATGGTGTGGTGGGGGATGGAGTGGGGGAGGGATTCTCTGCGAAGGCCATGGCAGGAGCAGAAGAGTCAAGGTAAAGTAGATTTGTCTCATTAGGCTGGAGTAGGGCAGGGGGAGGGTGGCTGGCTACCGTGGGAAAGGTAGTTCAGAGGCTTGGTCCTCTGCCAAGGCATTTTAACTCGCTCAGGAGGCCATGGAGAATCACTAAGAGGTTTTGAAGGTGGCAGGATTAGAACCGTGCTTGAACAAGATTAATGTGACCAGGCATGCGGATGCACTGAGGGAAAAGGGAGAGTTCGGTGGAGAAGTCAGCTTACAAGAGGGGAAATGGAAGCATATATGTGGTGATTTGCAGTTTGGGAAATTCAGAGAGGTTGTTCCTCAACCATAGTATTCACCAGTAAAATACTTAGTTACAGAATCTGTGTCAGGAAACGTCCAGGAAGCCAGGAATATATCCACGTATTCTAAAGTCCCATGTGCATGCGCATGCATGGCTAGCCAGTACATTTCCTAGCTGCCTCCGGGAAGAGTATTAGGTGCCAGAAGCGAAGCCACTACACTTGTTTTCAAGGAAGAAGTAGAAAAAAGAAAAACAGCTTGAGCTTCTTTCTGTATCACAGGCTTGCATGTGTTATTATTCAACACTGCAGTGTCAGATTTAGGTTTTCCACCTCGAGGAATTTGGTTTAGCTTTAATTAGTTGCTGTGAATATTTCTGAGCCGGCTCCAGGAAGCATTTATCTAGAAAATAGTTTTCACTAGAATATAAGTTGAATACAGGGTGTCATATTTCTATCAGGCTCTGTATCATGTTCACACAGTTTATAAATTCTCTCCAGCCATCTGGATGATTTTTTGCCACAGCCCACCCTAGTTATATTGGTTAATTATTTATTAATGATAATTTAAAATACTATAATATTGAGGCCATCTGTCTCTCCATCCAGGTTCTATGAGTAGCTGCAGGACTCTAGAGCACGAACGAATATTTTTCAGAGAAAAGATGATGTTTGCAGGTTATTCTGCATAGAGGCAACTGATGCATTTTTCATCCAGGAACTTTTCAGAAAAACAAGCTTAAAAATACCAGACAAATGAAAAACAGACTTCAGCAGTTACATGCAGCTTCCTGAGTAACTGAAGAATGTGCCTCTTGTGGTTAAAATGAGGGATCTGTTTAATATGGATGAAATACCAACACTCCAGGCATTTTCATTGACATTTCACTGTGACTTTTTGAACTTAGGAGTGCTGACACGAAAACCTATTCTTGTTGCTCCGCCAAGCCTTCAGCCGGACTGCAGAGCAGGGCCAGGAGAGGTGAAAGGCGAGGTCCCGTGCACGTTCCCCCTGGGTGTGTGTCTTTCTGTTTGTACTTCATTTTCATTCACATGGTTGCACTTCCCAGTTTTCCAGGATTCCTTCTCTGGAACCAGTTAGGAAACCAGGCAAGGGTTTGTTTTGCTCCCCAAATCCTATCACCTCTCCAGCGCAGGACTTGCTTTCTGGACCAAAGGGAAAACGCTCGTGGTGGGCGTTTGTAAAGACCTTTTCCAAAGGTCAAGGAACACTTCTGTACCTTGGAGCCAGAAGCTTCCCAGAGTGGCTGGACGGAGCACTGGGGCACCTAGGGGACATTTGAGAACAGATTCAAAGGGTAAAGGAGCCTTGGGACGCCCCCTTTTCCAGTCCTCCCCAGCTCTGGCAGAGCTCCGCTCCGGGGTAGCCCGCCGTCTGGCAGCAGCCGGGGACAGACATGCTGTTTTGTTTAAATCCTCCACATTCTTTGCCATTTCCCCATTGGCCGGATGGGGCTACCCTCCCCGCCGCGGCCGCTGCTGATGTCAGCCTCGCTCGCGCTCGCTCCTCCCGCACCCACCTCCCGGGCCCGAGGCACACTGCAGCTCCGCGCCGACTCTCCGGCCGCGGCGAGGTGGCTGCAAACTCGCAGGCACGCACGGCGCTCGGGCAGCCAAGGGACTCGGGGGAGGGGACGCGCGCGGAAGGCGCCAGCTTCCTCTCGCCCGCCCCTCGCAGCCGCGAGCCGTCGTTGGAGGTACCCGGGGCCCCAGCCCGGCAGAGCCGAGCGGCGGCGCCTTCCCTTTTCTCTCCCAGCGAGCCCTGGAGCGCCTCGGGGACCGGCCCTAAAAAGAGCAGGAAATCTTGTTTACCGCCCGGGGAGAGGAGCCTACCGAGCCTTTGTCTGGAAAGTCAGCATCTCCGGCTCCGGCAGCAATGTGTTCCTGGTGACATTAGCATTGGGCAGACCGGCCGGAGAAGGGGGCTCGCCAGGTTCATGCCTGGTTTCGGAGGCGGATCGAGCGGGTGACTTTTGTGCATTCGTTTTAATTTTTGGAAATCTCTCTTTTCTCTTCTCTCGCCCGCTGCCGGGCATGTCCTGATCTGGCGGCCGCTCCTACCGCCCCGGGCTGTCGATCAGAGCGGTTTCCAGCGGGGCTCTTTCCCTCCCTCCCTGACTTTGCAACACCGCGTTCCAGGAGGACCGACCTCGGCGAGGAAGGAGGCGGGGGAACCGCGAACACCGGCCCCAAACCTTGACATGCTCTCGGGCGGAGAGGAGGAAGCCAGGAGCTGAGCGCACCGCCGGGGCTGCTTCGCCGGCCGGCTCCGAGTGCAGGGCTCTGGGCGCCCTGCCCTGCGCCTGGGCGGCAGCCTTGTTAGTCTAGGGGGCTCCCCTCAACCCCCGCTTCCCGTCCCGGGGATCCGCGGCCGGCAGGACCATGCTGCTGAAGGAGTACAGAATCTGCATGCCGCTCACCGTGGACGAGGTAAGCGCGGCGCTGGGCCCGGCCTCGCCCGCTCCCGGCCCCCCGCCTCCGGGCGCCTCGTCCCCCGCCGCCGCCTCCGGGCCGGCGGCTCCACTGCGGGCGACAGGGAAACCCTGGTGGAACATTATCTCCCAAACCAGAAGGTTGGAGGGGGAGGAGAGGGGGGGATTGCTGTTTTCACTTGTCACCCCAGCGGGGGGAGAGACGCGTTGGGTGGGGCGGTGGACTTCAGGTGGGCTCTTTGGGGGCACCTAGAATCCAGATTGCTGGGGATCAGAATGCGCCAAAGGGAGCTGGTGCGCCCCCTCCCTCCAATTAAGAAAATGAAGAAAGCAAACCCAAGAGCCCCAAGCGCGCGCCCCAGTAGCTGGGGGCCCGGCGGGGGGGCATCCTGTCCTGGCGTGGGCGCCGCCTCCCCTCCCGGCTTCTCTGTAAGGTCCGGGTACTGGGAGAAGCCTTTCGCTCTCGGGATCTGGAGGCCCCGAGCTCCGTTGAGGGGCACCGCGGAGCCCTTGGGGGTCCGTCTGGGCCCGGTCCTCTCGCCGTCGCCGCCAGCCTGGGCGCCGCTCCCGCCACACCCGCGCACCGAGGCTCCTGGACTTGGCGTCGACCTTTCGCAAACCGCCTGGCTCGGAAACTTTCTGCGTCTCTTGTTTCTCCAGCCGCGGGGAGCGTGCTCTGCGGGCGAGCGGGGAGCGGCGGGGCCCGCGGCGCGGCCACGGGAGGGCGCTCCAGCACGTGGGTGCGGGGTCGGCCCGGCTACCGCGGCCGCCGGACGGGCGGGCGCGAGGGGCGGGGGCTCGTCCTGGGCGCTTCCTCCGCGCGCTGCTCCGGTTCCATTCTCCGGATTCCCCCGGAGCTGCAAGCGCTATCATTCGGGAAAGGATGACTCAGTGAGGATTATTCAGGCCCCGGCTTCCCTTTATTCCCTCTCTCCTCCCTGCCTTTTTGGTGATTTCACAATTGCTTAGCGCTTGTCCAGGGACAGCGAAGGAGCGTGAAGCCAATCAGGGTAATTTGAAACTCACTAGTGTGGTTTGGTGTGGCAACGCAAATGAAACCAGCGACCAAAACCCTGTTTATATTTAAATACAGTGCATTTAATCTATCAGATATGTTACTGAGCCACTACTTTGTGGAAGGGGCTAGGCGTTTTGGGAGAGAAAAAGGTATTTAATCGAGAACGTGGCTGTGTTCCCAAGGGGCTGTCTTCATTTGTCACCTGGAGCAAGTGTTAAGGCAAGACCCAAAGGTAATCCAAGGCAAGATCAAGGTAGCTCCGAGTTTACAAAGCGGATCCCAGGGACATTGGCTGCCAGAGACAGATCGCACCCCCCACCCTCCCCACCGCCCCCGAGTCCGAGCGTCACTGTCTGTTGGCATTATGAGGAGGGAGCGTTCGAGGAAGGTCTTGAAGGATGGATGCCATGTGGGTGGGCAGAGTTTTGGGGGTGCCTCTGGACCGTGTAAATAAAGTGGAGAAGCAGCACACTGCTATGTGGAGAAGGGGGTGGGGGGCAATGAATGAAACTGGTTATCCGGAGTATTTCTAGAAAAGGTTGAGATCTCCCACCTCATGGGCAGTGAGCTGGAGTGGTGCTTGGAGGTGTGTATGCTTCCACCCCCTTTCCTCCTCATGACTTTATAGGATTTTGGAATCTAGGGGCGATATTGGTAGGGCATGAAATATCCCCACAATGCAAGTGACCGTCAAAAAGATAACCAGTTCTGGAATCTTCTCTACTACCCTACAAAATCTCTTTTATTCTGGTTGGTTTACCTTCTCAGGCTTTCTTGAACACTCAGGCACAGCTCTTTTCCCACCTTTGTTGTTTTTTTTTTTTTGGTACTGAAATACCCACCACTTCAGGATGAAGTAATTACATTTGAGTGGTATAGGTGGAGGCCCTCTTTTTCTTAATTGGCAAATGAAATCAGACTCCACCTGTAATATACTGTATAATTATAACTTAATGAATGTATAATTTGTTTGGACTAGAGCGTGATTCAGTTTCTGCAAGGTTCTATCCTGAAGTAGTTTTCTATTTGGTCAGAGAAGCAGAGGGGCAGCTTAGATTGCTAGAGTTTTCAAACTGGAAGGATTCACATTAACCAAGTCAGATGATGGTTGAGGAAACTAGGCCCAGCTTGCCAGAAGTTAGACCCCTGGAGTTTGAACCGGTGGTAAACCCCACAATCTCCACAATCCTGCTTTACCTTGCTATGTCTTACTGACCCTACCTTTGAAAACTGGGAAGCATCAGTGACTTCAAAGAAGACAGTTACCCTCAACTTAAGTAACTTTTGGAAGCCTAACTTTTGCTTCCACTCTTGGTTTGTTTTGGGCCTGATTCAATCTACATGGAACTTTTTCTGTCTAACCACCACAGTGCATTAGTAGCAGTGTCCATATTTTTGAGAACGAGGCAAACGCCCTTGTTTTGGAGCGTCAGCAAGAGAACCAACACTGTGTGTCTGTTCTGTTCCCTGACCTTATCCCATCATAAATCCTGGTGGAGGGGAGCGGAAGGGGCACTGGAGTGTTATTACCCACATTTTGCAAATGGGTAAACTGAGATTCAGAAAGGTTAAGTAATGTGCGTTGGGCCACACAACTAGTTAATAACCAAGCCAGAACCAGAGTCATAGTAAAACCCATTATTTGTTTTTCCTTGCTATGCTCTTTGCCCATTGTTAGTATTTCATCCAGCAAAAGAAAAAAACATTTCTTGAAAACAGACAAAGTCAGCACTATCAACTAAATGAAAAATCAAAGACCTTTTGAATTGTTATAGAGAGTACTGATTTTTCCCATTTCTCAATCCTTATTTTAACTCATAATGTTCCCTATTTCTGGGAAAGAACAACTTTGGGAGACAAAAGAAAATAAAGCTGAACCATAGTCTAGAACAGTATTGGTGTTTTGTTTTGTTTAGACATTAACTTCAGAATAAAGAATTATAAGAAGTAACATCCCATGGATTAATTTTAATTAAAAACCTTCATCGGAATAGTCTCCTCATTTATGTTCCATGTCATTGTCTCTAAACTAAACATAAGTCCTTGGAAAGTTTTAAATGGTGAACGTTCCTGGGGGCTGCTGGTTGGCCACAAAGAGAGAGCTGTAACTGTCTTCATTTGAAACATTTGGTGATGCAGATTCTAGAATTGTAGACTTGGAAGGGCTATTAGAGATGATCTGTAGTTGAGCCATTTCATTTTGTGGAGAAGACTAGAGCTGTAGAAGTTTCAGTGAGTTGCTCGTCCCATAGCTAAGGGCAGGCTGTAGGCCAGAATGCAGGTCTGGTGCAAAGCTGCTTTACTACAAGCCAGGGGTTCTCCCACAGTTTCCCCCGAGGGATTCCTTGTTGGAAGGAACTATTATCCCTAAGCCTGACATGCAAAGCAGGGGTGCTAGGTGCTCTCTAGTTGAAGGTGAGTTGGAGGCTCTGTCCACTTAGGGGACCTTTAGGGGAGTCAGCTGACTAGAAGGGTGGCCAGGGGGCTCTTTGGATCTTCTTTTGTGTAATAAGTCCGTTGGTTTTCCTTAGATCATATGTCTATTTGGGGTGGCTTTTGGATGTGTGGCTCAATGGAGATCATGGTGGATTTCAAGGCCTCTCCCCCACAAGCCGCTCTTTGGTGCTGCCACGGGTCCCAGCATCCTGATCCCAAACTCCATCCCCAGGACTCCTTGGAGCCCAGTCTGCTCTCTCCTGCCTGACAGATACTTGTCAGTAAGATAAGCATCTTCAAAAGCTAAGCACATCCTAATGTGATGGAAGGCAGGGATCCTTTCATTTTCCTTGCTTGCTTTGGTGTTTAACAGTTCCTGTTCTGACTGCGTTAACATTAATGTGTGTACTTTTAGGGATTTATTTGTGGTCTTTAGGGATTTGGTGCACAAAGAAAAATAGAAACACTCCCCTCCCCTGCAAGAAAAGAAGAAAGAGAAAGAAAGAAAAGAAAAGGAAAACAACTTTTTAATACAGAATATTATTTTGTTCTTTGCCCTGGCAGGGAGCCAGCGCGCTTTATCCAGGCTCCCCCAGGTCCCCAGAGAATTTTCTTGCGCACATTTCTGAGAACAGATTTGGGATCAGGGTGGCGCTGTCTCTGGAGTGACATAAATGGGGATGCCAAGATGCCCAGCAATGCTTCTCATTCTCTGTTTAAAACGATTTTCAAGAAATGCGCCTGCAAATGTATCAGGCCAGAAATTCTTCAAGGAAAGAGATTTTAAGTTTGATACTGGCACTGACACTGTTTGGTTTTTGTGCAAAGTGATACCCTTGAATATAAAGGATGAAGGCTCATAGACCCTCCCCAGGATTCCTCATAAACATCATTTTGAAAATGTTTTTTAAGAATGAGCCCTGCTTCCTTCCTTTTTTTTTTTTTTTTGAGGAAGTTTAGCTCTGAGCTAACTGCTGCCAATCCTCCTCTTTTTCCTGAGGAAGACTGGCCCTGAGCTAACATCCATGCCCATTTTCCTCTACTTTATACGTGGGACGCCTGCCACAGCATGGTGTGCCAAGCAGTGCCATGTCCGGACCCTGGATCTGAACTGGCGAACCCCGGAGAATGAGCCCTATTGAAGGTTTCGGTTTTTGTTTTTGTTTTTTTTCTGTCAGCCTAGTAGGGAGGGACCAAGACCAGGGTCATGAGTTTGATTTCCGGGCAATGCCAGTAGCTTCTCTTATCTGTTCCACAATCAGGGGACAATGTTCCTCACGCTGCCTGGTTCTCTTGCAAAGCTCCCTTCTTAGTTGCGAGGGGCACCGGGGCAGGGGGCCGGGTTAATGGATAAGTGCAAACCTTTCACCGTTAATGGAACAGACAACAAGGAGCAGATGCTGTCCTCCAGGGCGGTCGGTGAAATTGACTGTGTGTGTGAAGGACGCTGCCTTTTCCCCGTGATTTTCTTGTGAATGCCCGTCACACAAGACAGATTCTGGGCCTTGGAAAAAAGACACTGTTGTTAACAAAACCCTAGTTAA